AATATCAATAATTTATAAATTTTATCTTGAAATGCCCAAAATGTAAAAATATACAATATAATCTCCACGCTTAAAAAGATTTGTCTTTAGTTGCTATTTTTTTTAGTACAACATGTGGGAGCGCGGATCCATCTCACAATCTCTTATTTGGAAATATATGTCAATTACCTCTGGACTATGTTCGCTTTGATGTTTTAGTTGCTAATTAATTACCATAAAACATTTGTAATCCTAATTATTTTTAAGTATATTATTTTGATTAATTTACTCTCAACTGGTTCATTTTGATATGTTGACCATTTGATCCATATTTACAAAATTTTAGGATAACTCAGATCCATACAGGGTAAAAAATTTAATATAAAAGTATTGGTACATTTCTAAAAATTTATTAAGTTTTTTCTTTTTTAGACAAAAAATTATTAAGTTTAGTGTCATGATTAATAAAATGAGATAGAGAATTAAGATAATAAAAATAGATAAAACAATCCATTTTAAAATAATAATACACCAATCAAATTTAACATTTTAAAAGCACATAAATCAAAACATGTGACCAAAATTGTATTTAAATCTATTTTTAAAAAGTTTGAAATATTAAAATAACCCTTTTAAAAAGTTAAATACCAAGATAAAATAAAATAGAAAAAGTTCACGGAGAACTTCAATTTTTTTTTTATAATAAATAAATGATGATAATCATGCAAACAATGTATCTAACAAAACAACTGATAATATTATAAAACAGCACGAGTCTGAAAATTTTCAAACTCTCTGATTAGATTTCAAACAACTCATTTTATTAACAGGGAAACAAATTGAAGAAGCGAGATTCTCATGGGTGGCGATGGTGGGGCCGTTGTCTCAAAAGAGAAAGAGATCAACGGCCAGATCTCAGCCACGTCTCCAGTCCATAGCATCACGTCGCTGGAGAATCCCCCGGAAGATCTATATATAAATAGATAAAATAAATCTCCATGCGGAGTCGACACAATCTCAGTTTCATCGCTCTCAAAAAAAGAGAAAAAGAAAAAGA